CCATTTTATCCACTACCAATTAAAAAGAACAATGAAAAGATTAGATTTTATTATACACTCATCCTCATGTTTTTACCAACTTGTATGCTGTTTTTTTCCCCATAAAACACAAAAATAGAATTGTTTAAAGAATGTTACACAGTTATTGCCATTCAAGGACATAGTGTTCAGTGTCCACAAATTTTCAAACTCTAAAAAGGACAAGAAAGCACCATAAAAGTAGTTAATATGACTGGCACACTATTATCAAAGTATTTTAATGCAGTGGTTGTCAATCAAACTTCCAAGGGGGCCACAGAATGGCTTAAAATTATTTAATTATATTTTTTAAAAATTAATTAAAACAAATAAGAAGTTAGAAAATAAAAAATCAAGATGTAAATGGATACATCTAAAATGATGGATAAATCAGTAATATTTAAAAAAAATTAATTAAAACAAATAAGAAGTTGGAAAATAAAAAATCAAGATGTAAATGGATACATCTCAAATTATGGATAAATCAGTCATTTTTTTTTTTTTTTAAATATAAATCAAAATCTAACAGAATCACAAAATTAATCGTGTTTAATGAATTTAATTTCAACACTTTCTGTGTTGTTAAAGTTTGGTCGGTGCCGATAGCCTCGTGGTTTGTGCGTCGACATACAGTATAGCTGTGCTCACCCGAGTTCGATTCCTGTCTCGAGGCCGATCCCACTCCCCTCTCTCCACCCAGTGCTTTCCTGTCATCTCTGTACCGTCCTGTCCCAATAAAGGCATAAAAAGCCCATCAATATAATTAAACAAAATAAAATAATTAAAAAGTTTGAAAACGAGCAGTGTTGTTGTAATTACAACCGAAATACCAGAGGAAATATCTTGGCTGATATTGTCTTTGAATATTGTGTTGGACAGTGGGAGCCACACAGGTCAAAAAGGTTGAGAAAATGCTTTAAAGGAGACATATTATGCCCCTTTTTACAATATGTAATATGAGTCTCTGGTGTCCCCAGAATGTGTCTCAGCTCAAAATACTCCACAGATCATTTATAATATTATTTTGAAAATGCCTATTTTGAGTGGAAGCAGAAACACGCTGTTTTTCGTGCCTTTCTCTGTAATTGCAAATGAGCTGCTGCTCCCCGCCCCCTTTTCCAGAATAGAGCTGCGCCATTACAGCTCGTACTTGCTAAAAACATCTGTTTTGGTTCTGATTATCATGTTTATCGCACTGAAATCATGCGTTTTAAACCATATGAGTTTAAACTTCTGATATACGGTTGTCTGAGAACACGCATCCGAAGCACACGGACAGAAAGCGGCTGTCACAGCATGCGAGTACTAAACTAAGTTCTCATTCACACACAAGTTTACGTTAAAAAAACACACGAGTTACAAAAACAGTCGGTTATGTCTGTGATGGTAAACTGCTGGGAAATAAATAACATGTTTATTTTAGATCTGTGTGGCAGCAGCAATATACAGTAAATAAATCAATAAATCCACTGCTCTCTTGTCTCCTCTGAGGCTGGGACTCTAAATAGTGTTCTGTGCTCGTCTGTGCAGCCAAAGGCAGAACAGTTAGCATGTTTTGCTCAAACTTTCACCATGGCATTAGAACTAATACACCGTTGTCGCTTGCAAAATCAAAATGACGGCACTGTGCGTGTAATCTTACAGATTAAGGGGTGGTAAGGAATATTATAATAAGATCCCTTTGCCACGTCACCAAGGGAGCGAAATCAGACGCGCTCGTTTTCTCAGACGCTTGCAGAAAAAGGCTAACCAAAACAAAGTTACTGGGTTAATCTTTTTCACGTTTCCTTGGTTGATATATGCACCAGGGACCTGATTATAGCACTTAAAACCTGGAAAAGTCAGATTTTCATGATATGTCACCTTTAAAAATGTCTTTTGTGTTCCAATGAAATATCAACAGCACATGTTTGGAACAACATGAGGTCTCTTTCTTCATGTTCTCATTTCTCTCTTCTCTCAGTATGTTGTGATCCCCACACGGCGCTCCACAGCGGAAGCTTTTCAGATTGTACTCTCACACTTGCTGGGCGACGCTATTAGCCCTTACCTCATAGGAGTGGTACGTCAGTCTCACAATTGCACAGAAAAAGTCTTTCAGAGTTCTTTTTAAAGTGTTTTTTCCCCCTCTCTTAAGGTGTCAGACTCGATAAAGAAGTCTGATTCATACATGTGGGAGTTTCGTTCACTTCAGATGTCACTCCTGCTGTGTTCCTTCGTGGCCGTGGTGGGTGGAGCTTTCTTCCTGGCCACGGCCCTCTTCATCGAACAAGACCGACATCTGGCAGAGAACTACGTGCCCTCTGGTGAGTGAAATCACTGATGACATCCCAGTCTTGTCTTAGATTAGAGCCCAATTTCAGGACAATCTTGGAAGTCCTATTTGTGTTTGATTGTTTATTTTAGTATTTATATTTAGTATTTAGTATATATATATTTAAGTTTTTGTCATTGTTGCACTTGTCAAGGACAACATTTCTCAAACTTAAGGTTTTTAAAGTTTATCATGTAATATTTATATTTTATTTTATTTCAGATTTATTTCAATTAATGATTTTTTTATATAGTTTTAGTTATATTCTGTGTATTTTACAATGGATTGGTTTTAATGGCCACTAATAATCCTGCTTTTAAGAATTAATTTTAAAATAAATATTGCTGGTTGAATACAGCCTCAATGTCTATGAATGGCATTTTGTGCCTTGCTGTCATAAGTGCCTTACTGTAAATGTGTGTTTTTTTTTAAACGAATCTATAAATATTCCTTTCAGTCTCTTCATTGAACAAAATGCTGGCTAATTGTTATAAGTAATAATTTCCATTTGTGGGTTTTGGCTAATTCTTTATATGTAATTCTCAGTCACCTAATTTTTTAGGGTCATTATAGATGCTTTGGAAATATAACATACTGACGTGTCTTTTTATTTTTCAGATGACGCACCAATTATTGTTCCAAAGAGAGGGAGGTCCACTAAAGTACCGGTGTCAAGTGTTTTAATTTGAGATGATGCAAGGATTTGGATGATTCTCAACACAGGGAACAGCACTCTGATTGGCGTAGGCAGATAGAGCCAGTGCCGTCAGCAGCCAATCCTGGACCAGTAATCACTGATTGGACTATCTCCACAATAAGGAGTTTTATAGTAATTTATTATGCTTATGTTTTTGTTTATATCCTTAACACCCCTATTGATTTGGGACATTTTGGACTAAATAATATCAGTAACATCTTACCTGGTAGTCCTGTGTGCTTAGACCATTCTGCTTTCCCCCGGATGTGTCCTGTGGGAGGTGAACACGTGGGAACATTTCATTACCTTTAATTGAAACTCATCAAGATGTGTTTTAGAATTCATGTAAATTATATTTGAGATGTTTTTATTGGAGGGGATCTCAATTGATTTTTCAGATTGCTGTGTATATAGGTTCTTAAGTCAGTTAACTAAAACCGAGGTACTCTCAAAATTCTGTTGCATTTGTTTTCATCAAAGCTGGACTATGATTAAGAACTAGCGGAGTCAGACTGAGCTTGAGCAGCACTGAAGCCTGTATGTGATCTGCCTTTACAAACTAAAGTCTTTCCTCCTGTTTTAATGTCTTTTCTTCTATACTAACAGTTGAGCTTTTAGGGTCTTTTAGGAAACACACCGAAAACAAACACTAATGCTGCTGTAGCATGATTCAGATATTAATTAACTTGATTATATATATATTTTTAAATAACATTGTTACATATACTTGTTGCAAAGGTCTGGTTTGTGGCTTGTTTTAATTTGCACTTTTAACTTTTTTTGTTTTGTTTTGTTTTTTTAATTTAGGCAGTTTCTTGTGCATTCCCTCTGCTGTGGATGTTTTCCACACTATTCTTTTGGGATAATTTGCAAACTTTGCTTACTAATCTTGTTTTGTAACCTTTTTAAAAAATATTAAATGAGAAGTGTAATCTAAGTTGTCTTTTTGATCGGTTTTCTTGTGTTAAACTTGTTTTAAATCGGTTACCTTATTTCTCCTTACAGCACATTGAAATAAGGGCGAGTATTTTTATTTCTGCTTTATATCTTTCTCTCTCTCTCTCTCTCTTGCAAGTTTGCATTCTCTCTCTCTTTGCAGTGGCAAGAACGATGATCAAGGTTTTTCAGTTGCTGTGGTTTCCTGTTTGTAGGTGGGATGTAGAGATGCAAGCCTGTTTGGTAAATTTGCTGTGAAAATTAGTCTCGTGAATGAATTATGAATACTGAAGCGCCTGAATCGAAACATGCGTTGTCTTTGCAGTGGAACATTCGGTGGATGTTGTGCTTGTGAGAATACAATGTACCAATATGTCATTCCTGTAATTTGTTTGTGTAGGTTACAAGAACACCACAAAATGCCACAAGAGTGGGAGGCAAGATTGAGAAATTATGACTCCCTGTCCGCCATAACGAAGCGACTAGTTAATGCTTACAGTTTGAACCAATGTTTTTAACATATATATTTTTTTAACTCCCTCTCATTAATCTCTTGTAAAACTGTAGGGAAACACCTGTGTTCTGTTATACTTTATTTACGAACATTATAAAGCATGAATTACAACTCAATTGTTGATTTTTTTTATTTTTTTTTATGACCAATTATTATTTGACGGTAAATCTTGCAATGGGACACCACAAAAATTGTTCTAATGTTGTCAATTGCTCACCCTAGTAACTCAATGTCAAGATAACATAATGCTTTTCTTACTCTGTAAGGTTTAATGCCTTAATGACTTTATCTTCTGAGTCTAATATCTGACAAATGATGAAAAATAAAAAAAAATGCTATCAAATCTGCATGGCGGCAGAAAAACCAAGCAAGAAACCAAACCTTCAGATATAAGAGATGAGACGAGGAGGGAGGTGAAATGAGCAAGAGAGCAGCCAGTTACAAAGATGAAGAGAGGGGAAAAAAAGATGCTGACTGGTGCAAGTGATAGAACGACACTTTCTCTGAGCCTATGAGGAGACAGAGAGCAAGTGCAGCGAGGAAAGTTCTTCGCGGTAAAGGCCCTTTAGATCAGGACTCACCTCAGCGGCTCATATGAAATAATAAAACTTAAGGAATTAACTTCAGCAGATATGAGCAACTGGCATTAAGCAACTGACTACTGGGATTGCTTAAATTTGGGTTGGGAGGTGAACTAAAGGGGAGAAATTGAGGAACAAGGCGGGAGGAAAATGGTGGCACCTTCAGTGTGAGCTGTGAGTTAGGTGTGATTTATACAGACTGCAGTGTGTGTGTGTGTGTGTGTGAATTGGTCGGCAGTTTAATTGCAGGTTTCTGCTGAGCAGAACGTGTGGTGTCTTGATTGACTTGATTGCTGCTACTGATACTGGTAAGCTTTTTACTTTATTTTCTCTTCAAGTAAAACTGGCATATCGTTTTGTGGAGAAAGTTTTCTGTGCCATGATACAGAGAGCTTGAATTTGAATACAGTAATACTCAGTCATATCTCTTTGATTTTATTTGCCAATCACACTTTTTTTTCTACAAACCTCATTTCTACAAACTGTAAAGAAATCCTACAATATATGATCTGTCACTTTCAATCAGTGCACCTTGGGTTTTCTTCTATGCATGTAACATGCCATTTAGCACCAACTTGGTTGACATGATTGACAAAAGGTTTCAAATTGCCATGAAAATTAATCAGAATTATTCATCTTCCTCAATTTCGGGTGCTGACTTCATATTAAGACAATAATTGTTTCAAAACACATAGGCTAATTGCCTTTGCAAGTCATCAAACATAACGTTTTGCCAAAAATATTTATTTAGATAATTTATTTTCTTACTAATTCACTCTAAATGCTGGCTTGTAATATGGCTGTAGTTTGATAAAGATCAGAGGGTCAAGAGTTCTTCAACCGCAAATAAAACCTCATTATCACATTCACCGTCTTTCGTCAAGCCAATTACAATAACATTAACGCTTAGATTTTTTTTACTCATGCTTTTAATTCTGAATAACCATTATTACGTATGTGAATCATTTTATGCATATAAATGAGTCCTATTTTGTTGGATTTATAATAATAAAAGTGCATGATAAAGTGCACTATAATATTGAAGAGTTCATGATTGTCTATGAAATGTCTATCAGAATAATGTTGGTTGCGCAAGGCAACTTTGCTTGTACTTAGATTAGGAAAATGTAGGTAAGGCTGCCATTTGCCCTGCTTTTTTGGGTTCTGGGTAGTAGTTCTCTAGAACCTGACAGCTCTGGGATTAGAGTGAGGCCCAAAACCTCTCATAATGCCTCGTTTTTTCTCTGCAAAATACAGGAAATCCGTTTCCTGGCACTGAATGTAACCACAGACAGCCACACACTCACATATATAGAGATGTGTAAAAACTTGCATGGCAGGTGATGCTGAGTGAAATTTCGCAGATTGCGAATTTGCCTAATTAAAACTGGCAAAACGTTTTAACTGAAAAGTGCCGACCACTCAAGGGATTTTTAAAAATGTTACAGAGAAGAGCTTTTTGTATCCGTTAAAAGGCACAAAGTGATCCATGCTGGGGTAATCAGGAGTTTATTTGATCTTTTGAGTGTTATACATAAGTGTTAAAATTAGCAGACGGTGTTTATAAAGCAAATAAATAGTGCATTGCAAAAATGACTATTAGGAAAAAGGAATTTATATATATTGTGATGTTTATACTCAAGTTAAAGAAAACAGTCTAAAAATGAGATAAAATACACTTACGGGTGTTTCTTAAACTTTAATGCTTTTATGTCCCAGATTTGTATTAAAACAATACTGAGCACTAACTTTTTTCCCTTTTTGTTAATTTTTTGTTGCATTAAATTTATGTTGTTATTTATGTTTTGTTTTGTCACATTAAAATGATCTTGAAAAGTTTTTTTGTAATCATACTTAAAAAAAAAAACAACAATTATATTTCCTGCTTTTTAAATTCTGTTGTGTATGGATTTTTTTTACCCATGTCCAAACCCAAACTTTAAATTTTAAAACATGAAAATACATCATAAAAAATTGAGAATTACATATTTAAATCTTTAATAATATAAACAAAGGATGTTTTTTTTTTTAGTAAAATTAGACATGTGATGTGTGAATAAAGAGAAATCAAAGTAAATAACATGTTATTCAAATATTTTAATTATGTGTTATTTCCAGTTGAGCTGTAAATTTTGTAGAATTTTGCAAAGTGTGAAAATATTTCATTGTGTGCATAGGATGCCCAAAATGCAAGCTAAGAAATTATCCTTAGCACGGGAGTACATCATTTTATTCCAAAAATATTTAAAATGCAGTTTTACAACATAACACAATCTAACACAATACATCATTTGAGATGTGATATAAATGGCACTGTAAGAATTTAATATATGAACTTTTTGACATTGTTAATAGACCAATTAAAATAGTGAGAGAGTTTCTTTTCTGAAACAGAGACTGTATATAGATTATTTGAAATTAAAATTTTGAGTTATAGCTGAAGAAACACCTTTATATTCAATATATGTATTCTCTAAAAACAAGTCCATATGCATCACTTCTCTGGCTTCTCAGTTAAATGAATAGATGTTAAGATGTTTTTACTGGAAAACAAGATGATACTGGTTAAGAATAGGATTTTTGACATGTACAAACGACTATTAGACATACTAGTCATCAACACCAAGTTCTGCAAGAAAACAATCCACAAAGATGCAAGATAGTTAAGACATCTAAATGTCCATGGTGGAGATCAGAGCAGCTCTTCGGTTTTAAGAACAGTATATTAAATGATAAGGAATAAATTATCATGATTAAAGAGCTCATGGATGGAAGATTTGTGTTTTCATCTGTTTCTTAAAGATTGTGAGGGACCAGTACTTATTGCTAACATTAAGAAACAAAACACTAAGTAAACCCTCTTACTGCTTTTTCATTTGTATAGTTAAAACAGGTCAGCTTCATCAAAACCAAATGAAATGAGTTCACCTGACCTTTCATATGTGGCTTCATTTATACAAAATGAGCGTATGGTAACATTTCCCTGGTTTAGTCACACTAACCTAAAACCACAGATTCAGAAGAATGATGTTGCTCTCTGCTATGGCCAAATACTGCCATAAATCAATGTTCTTGCGTTGCCTTCTCAGTTATGGACTCCACTGCACTGCTGTCTGTGGTGGGCGGGGCTCTCCTCCTGTCAATCATCCTTGTAACCAGTCTTTGTACATACTGCTGGGGGCATAAACAACCAAGTAAGACCTCCTAACTCTTATCTGTAATAAAAATAGTTTTTGTCTCATCAAAGCTTTATGTTAAAAAGGATGTTTGCGGTATACTTCAATTCAAATAGATGTAAAACTCACCGTACAACATGGCTTTGCACAACTATAACAATAACCCTGTGAAAGAGTTGTATGATGTACACGATACACGAACATTTATAATCGAGCTATAGAAGGTTTTTTGTGTAGTCGAGCTGCAGTCACCATCTTTCTGTTCAAGAGTACATGACGCAGTGCAGTCGACAGTGATGTGACATTTGAACCGAGGCATCGGAGCTGGATGCCAGACGAAGCCTCGATTCGAGGCTTGTGTTGTTAACGTAGAAATCATGTCACAAATGACAAACAAAGCCTCACTTTCTGTCCAGTCACGTGCGCGATTCATCTTGCGTGTCGGAATGTTCGAACCCCAGACCTTACTTTACGAGTAAGTTTTCATTCAGACTTATTCAATTACAATTTTAAAAAGCCAGTAATACAAGTAATAGGAAGGAAACAAATTATTTCAGGAAAATAAAATATTTGCCATATGCAATTCATATACATTATTCTTCTATTAGCCTACATCATATTGATATTCGAACTGGCATTTAATGCCACAGTTTAATGGGTAGCCTAAATGAATTTATCAGAGGGATAAATTCAACAAACACACACGCTGTCAGGCTTTTATTTGTGCACGCAACATGAATCGATCTATGGCATATGTGGTTATGGAAGGCCAAAAGGGACAAAAACACGTGAATTTTAACAAGTCAACAACACGTTAAATACGTGTATTTCACGAGTACTTAACGCGTATTTCACATTGTTTGTGTGAAAAATCAGCGCATTAAATATGCGTATTCAACACGTATATAACATGTTAAATACGTGTAAAATATGCATTAAAATCTGTTTGAATGGGTCAATGTCATTGGCTGCTGAAGACTTGGGTCAAACCATCTCTGTGAGCTTTGAATGGTAATTCATAGACTAGGCTACCACCATTTAACATGCTATAGATCAGCGTATTCAGCCTATTTATTTTGTCCTTATTTGTCTTTTTTTTTGTATAGCCTATATCAGCGGTTCTCAAACCTGTCCTGGAGTACCCCCAGCCCTGCACATTTTGTATGTCTCCCTCATCTATCACACCTGATTCAACTAATCAGCTCATTAGTGGAGACTAGTGATGGGAAGTTCGGAACATTTTACAGACTCAGATCTTTGAGTCTCGTTCAGCAAAATGAAAGAATCTTTTTTCGAGTCATTTCGTTCGTTCATTTTAGCAAAATGTTACGTGTTACTTCCCTAACACATCTACTACTTACGCAAACATTGATCACACTACAAACAAGACAAAACTATAATGCTATAAGAAACAGAAAATATGAATTCATTGTTTACTTGTATCTTTAGTCTACGCTAGCTCACCTCACCTTATCTGACAAGTCTTCGGGTTTGAGTCGTTCGTTCATCATGTGACAGCCCCATAAGCTTAACCAATGCAGTCTGAGCTGGAAAGAGAACTGATTAGTTAATCTTTTGAGTCTTCAGGTTTTTCAAGTCGTTCGTTCATCACGTGACAGCCCCATAAGCTTAACCAATGCAGTCTGAGCCTGAAAGAGAATTGATTAGTTAATCTTTCGAGTCTTTCAAGTCGTTCGTTCTTCTGTCAAGTGACGTGACAGCAACCTTTCCATTCTTTACAAACGGGTGCATAGTTATTATTATTATTTACTGTTACAGTTATGTGATGCGTTTCTGGTCTCAAATTGTATTTCAAATTTATTTCTTACAGTTTATAAATGTGTGAATTTCTGTCATGATGGTTCTTTTCCTGTGGTAATAAAGAGTTGGTTATGTTTTAAATTTTGTACATATGATGGTGAAATCACTTTGATAAAGCAGAGATGCTTGTTTTTTGTTTTTTGCATTGGTTAAGCTTATGGGGCTGTCTCGTGATGGACGAACGACTCAAAAAAAACAGAAGACTCGAAACAGGTTAACTAATTCCAGTACAGAACCTATAGGATGATGCGCATTCGCGACTGAACGAATCGCTTCCTGAGACGACTCATTCTTCCCGAGTCACATTAAAGATTTGCTCAAAATGAACGAATCGTTCAAGAACAACCCATCACTAGTGGAGACTGCAAGACCTGAAGTGGGTGTGTCAGATATAGGGAGACAAAATGTGCAGTGCTGGGGATACTTCAGGGAGAGGTTTGAGAACCACTGGCCTATATAATTAATATATTTAAATTGCAATTTTATGAAAAATTAGATAAAAATAAAATTGCTTCACTTTTCTACACTCATGCCTTTTTGTAAATAAACACATTAGTGGACATTCTAGCTTTAACAGTGATCAAACTTAAGTTAGCATCAAAGCATTAACATTTGTGTGGGGAAATCAGTTACAGTGAAGGTAAGCAAAAATGGTTATACAGTTAATATAATTTTAGACCAGCTCCAACACACCTGAGCTAATCAAATTTTTCAGGACAGTGGCCCTCCAGGAACTGAGTTTGACACCCCTGCCCTATAAAGTCATAAGAACGATAGACTGCACATACGTTGCAATCATTCACAGCTCTAAAACAACATGAGGCTGGTTTTGTGAATAGAAAGTTTGTTGTACTGTAGGTCTATTGCACATGTGAGCTTTCAGTGACATCAATTCTGAATTAAAATAGTAATGAATATGTTAACACACTGACCTACTGTACATTTCATCGTGCAGATGATTTGTATGAATGTATGATAACAAGCTTGGATGTCAGCTGGCCTGGCTCAGTCAGAGTCTGTGTTCTGTCAGTGCTTGTGGAAGGTAAAGTAAGTGGGGACCTGAAAAAATGAGTTAGCATTAATAGCACGGTCTGATTTGAGTAAACTGCTAGTTAGGTTTGGAACCCGCCTAGGACTTTAGTACAGTAGAATACTTCTGCTGTCAGGAAAGCCAAATCAAGTTTTTATATCTGTTCGGACCCGAGTACAAGCTTTCATTCTAATCCTGAAATTCTTTTATAAAGTCTTAAATACCTGTTACGTTCCCCTAAGCATCTAGGGGTCAGGAGGGGAAGTAATGGAGAGAAGAAAAAAAGTAACGAGGAAACAAAAAGCGAGAACACACTTAAATCCTCTGTCCCAGAGTGAAGATGACACCAGTTGATATATATAAACAGAAATAATTTTATTTACAAGACAGAAAAGAACATAATGTAAATGGGAGCAAAGGCTCAGTGGAGAGCAAGGCCTAAAATGACAAACAAAATAGTTCACTAACTAATTTAAGAAGGAGCTCTAACTAGCCTTAAAGAAAAGAAAAGAAATATACAGCCAACTTCCCTCACATCCCTTGCTGTACAAAAACAGAGGCAAAAAGCAGTATAAAAAGAAAATGGCACTCTCCCCCTACAGCATCCCTCTTAACACACAGGCTAGTATTAAAAATCACTCGAGACAAAAGAGCCACAATACCTTTTGCTCAATCTCAACCTGGAACAATATCCATTAACAGTTCATGCTGAAACTCAATTAGCCACTGCTAATACACAACTATTGTCTCTGCATAAAAAACACGCACAAAGTTCAGTTTAGAAACATTTTGAGTCTCCCCCTCCCTTGCCTCACAGTGCTTTGATCCAAATGACTGCTTTCCTCTTTTACATCACCTACACACAAGTCCGGTGAACAACCCGCGGCAACAGTGATAAAGTAGCCCAATTCCACAGGAAAACCGCGGACTTGGCAACACTGTGAAGGACAGTAATGTCTACAACGGACACGAGCTCTGTCACGGCGCGACCACAACAGCTTTAAGTTGTCTAATTTGGCATGGTCTCCCTGCTGCACTAATAGTAGTAAGCCATTCCTCTGTGTATACATATCCTTACAAGTACAATATTAGCAGTATTATTTGTGTCCCCTTCAAAAATGGCTCATGAGAAATTGTATGTTTATTGTCCCCCCCTACTGTTAGATGAGATTTACGCCCCTGGGGCCTCATCTATAAAAAGAGGTTTCAATAAGCGCCACCTGCTGGCGATAGCTGTAAATGTAAGCACAATAAAAGCTCACGTTGTTAAGACAGATATTGATTACAATGGTCTGTATCTTAAACCTGCATTAATTGCTTACCTCACGTGAAATACGCGTATTTGACGTTGTTGAAGTGTTAAGATTCACGTGTTTTTGGACCTTTTGGCCTTCCATATGTAGCTGCTTTGTCCGACGGAGCTTCTTTTACAGGCTTTTGGCTACTTTATTTTTTACTAACCACCAGATGGCACTGTTTTCGACACTCTCGAAGCTTTGAATCTTTTCCCGGCACAGTCAGAGAAAAGCCTCAGTGCTTCATGAAGCTTCGTTCGCCCATCACTACTGCATGACATTTCAAAGATTGAATACGCGTAGTGCATCACCTGTGTCTTTTACTGAGCATGCGCAGAACGCAGAGGCCAGTTAATCAGATTGTCGTTCTGGGCATGCTCCGTAAGAGAGACAGGTGATGCACGACGCATTCTTGAAATATTTGATGTATGTGCTGGTTGAAGCCGACCAACAGTTATTAGTATCTAGGTCTGTTAGCCCGACTTCGTAAAAACATATATAAATCAGGGCTGTACGTTAACTTTTTTTTCACATAGCACTGGTGCTACAGAGGTTGAAAGTTTTGTAGCACAGGCCAAAAAGTTGTAGCACAAGTATAAAACGTCTGTTATCATGTCTGAAAACAAACACATGGCGTTCATCACTTAAACAGGCACTGATGTTCCACACGGAGCACAAAAAATACAAACCATCACGAAAATTGTTTTTAGACAAAGTTTTCTTAATTTGCTAAAAATGGAAGAGTGCAGAAACATAACACCTCTTACACCTTAACAAAATATAAAATAAAAAAATAATGGCAGACATTTAGGCCAAAGTGAGCAAAGATAAAATCTTTGTCATCATTTTATCTTTGTTATTAGAAAATAAGAACAAAGATATACATTACAAATACACATAATATACAAATAAAACAAACAGGGCTTTATTTTTCAGGTACAGTATTTAGCAGTAACATTCAAGAAATTGAATGAACAAATATTAAAATAAGCACACCTCTAACTACCAAGTATAATCAATCTCACACACACAAACAAGCACAACGAAATCAACACACACTATTAAGCGGCTGTGTTATGAACATGCAAAACTGTATTGCAGGCGTGCTACAGTGGTAAATGTATTCATCGCACAGACCAGTTTTTTCGTAGCACGTGCGACATATATGTCGCACTGTACAGCCCTGTATGTATTTTTTAGCCATTTTTCTAGTCTATATTTTCGAAAAAATATTTAAATTTTTTTTTTAAATGCACATTTTAAAGGTATTTAATTATGAATGAATTTAAGCTTTTAAGTATTAATCAATATATTTTAGCCTCCATATAGTTCAGTCCAAGAAAATACATTCACACATGTATTATTATTAAACGTTAAATCATTAACAATCTAGTTTTGATAGGCTATTCCATCCATATTTGCATTTAGTCTAAATGTAGGCTATATTATAAGAACTGAAATGTATTTTCTTGCCTCTGAAATACATTTTGAACTATATGGTTGAAACTAAATATATTTTCAATTTCATATATTTATTTCATTTAGCTTCACTGTTTACAGCATATATTTAGCATATATTTAAAACTTTTGTCCAGAAAAATATTTTGTCTTATGGAATGATTTAGTTTGTTTATTGGCTATATTTTATTTCTTTTTTAGCATCCATCCCTCAGAGGTCCAGTGATTCAGAATACCCAGCGTAAGAAATCAAATCTTGCATAGCCTCTGTCTTACAGGATCTTATATATATATATATATATATATATATACATATAT